CGCGGGGCCCTGCAGGCGCCGCAGGGTGTTGGCCACGAGCACCAGGTAGCGCAGGTTGGGCTCCACGTGCCGCAGGCTCCGGTGCAGCTTCAGCACCGAGATGTTGAAGAGGGAGGCGGAGGGGGCGCCGGGCCCCCCCCCACCCGAAACCGCCTCCGCCGGGGCCTCGCCAGCCTCCATCTCGGCCCGTTTGCGCTTCACGCCTTTGGCCAGCATGGGCCTGGGGGGGGCAAAGAGGGCAGGGGGTGAGCGGGGCCGGCCCAGACCCCCGGGTCCCTTGGGAGACCCCCATGTCCCCTGCACCCCTGGGGGCTGCTGCAACCCCCCACCCCGGGGCAAGAGGGACGGTGTCCACAGGAGCCAGTTGCACCTCGCAAACTGGGGAGGGCTCCAGCAACCTGGGGTTCCCCCCCATGCAACCTGGGGTTCCCCCCCATGCAAACCGGGGTTCCCCCCCATGCAAACCGGAGGCCCCCCCTCCCTTGCAGACCTTAGGGCAACCTGGGACCAAGCCCCGTGTCAAGCCCTCCCCTGGGGCCCGGGAATCCCTCTCCTTGCAAACCGGGAGCTCTCCGGCAAACGGAGGAACTGCAAACCGGGAACCCAGCCCGGCGCAGGCAACCGGAGACCGCCCCCCCACAATGCAAACAGCCAGGCTTAGCAAGGCGGGGATCGCCCCGCTTTGCACGGCGGGGATCCCCCGGCAACCACTGCCATCCGCGGGCTCTGCCGCTGGCGGAGGGGTCCCCGCCGCACCGGGAGCGGCGCGCGGGGCAGCCCCGGTTCCGCGGGCAGAGGCAGCCGCGGGGGCGAGTGAGTCACGGCGCTCGGCGCGGAAACCTCCGCCCCTTCCCCGGTGAGTCACCGCGCCCGGGCGCCCATGGCCGGGCCGGGCCGGGCCGGGCCGGGCCGGAGCCGCCGCCGCGCCGGAGCCTCCGCAGCGGCGCGCGCCCGGGGACCCCCGGGGACCCTCATTTACATACCCTCTCCTCAGGGGCCAATCAGCGGGGTCTGCAAGACGGCGCGCAGCCAATCAGGAGCCAGCATCCCTCCCCTCGCGCTCTCCGCCAGCCGCCGCGGCCGCCCGAGAATGGGCCGCGTCTGCCCGCCCGCCGCTGGACACGCCCCTTCGCCTGCCGGGGCGGGGCCTCGCGCCCCTGCGGCCAATCGGCGCGGCAGGGTTTGGGCTCATCTGCATAGCAGTGACGCCACCGCCGGAGGGCGGGCACGGCCGGCCGCACTGGCATCTGATTGGCTATAGCGCGCGGGTGTCATTTGCATGCGGAGCGCGGACTTGAGCGACTCAAGGCGGGCGCGTGCGATGAGTTTGCGGGCGCTCAGCCGGGCGGAGCGGGGGCCGGGGCCGCTCGCAGCCCCGCGGGGCGCGAGCCCGCCCGGCCCGGAGGAAACCGAAGCATCCGGTCTGCACCCGGGGCCCTGGGGACGCCCGTGTGCACTGCCACCCTGCACCCTTGGCGTGGGCGGCAGGCGGGTGCCGGCGGCGAAGCGCAGCCACGCGGGACCCGCGGGTGCCGCCCCGGCTCTGGCTGAGGGCAGGGACAGCCCGCGTCCCCATGTGCCCATCCGGGGGACATCTTCCCGCTCCGCCGGGCCGGCCCCGCTCCCACATCAGGGCTGAGTCACCTGCAAGGAGGGAATGGCCGGGGCCGGCTGCCGCCCGGCTCCAGCCACATGGACCGCATCAGGAGGCTGGCATGGAAGAAAAGAGGGGCTTTATGGCCGTGGCGGGGCCCCGGGGCGCCCTAGGCCGGGCCGTAGTGCCGGGACACGTAGACATTCTGCCCGTCGTACTGGCTCGTGCCCAGGCAGCGCAGCAGGAAGTGGCCCAGGTCGTGCTTGGAGATGACGCGGGAGCCGCCCGACGTGTTCACCAGCACCGCGTAGTCGCCGGTCAGCGGCTGGTCGTCTGTGGGCGGAAGAGGTGGCCGTGTGTGTCCCCCCCCCGTGTCCCCGTGGCCAACCCACGGCCACGCCGCCCGCTCCCGACACGCACTGGCGATGTGCGGGGGCATCACGGAGACGCAGGCGAGCCCGGACTCCTGCAGCACGCGGTGCATGCGGATGTGGTCCTCGGTGACCGGCCGCAGCCGCGGTGGCACCTTCTGGAGGTCCCACAGCAGGAAGGCTGCGGGGGGAGGTGGTGCTCAGCGCCCCAGTGTCCCCCAGTGTCCCGCGGTGTCCCCTCCCTCCGTGTTCTCACCCGACAGGCAGGCCACCACCTTCCTGACACCGTGCGCCTTCATGGCAGCCACGATGTTCTTGGTGCCTTCGGACATCACGGTGGTCAGGCCTGGGGGCACAGGGGCAGCAGGGTCCCCAGGGTGCCCCCGGGCAGGGAGGTGGCACAGTGCAGGGTCCCCAAGGTTGGCAGGGTGCCCCAAAGCAGTGGGGTGGCAGGATGCAGGGGATGCGAATTGCAAGGTCCCCAGGGTGCCCCAGAGCAATGGGGTGACAGAGTGCAGGGTCGCCCAGGGTGATGGGGCTGCAGGATGCAGGGTGCCCAAGGTTGATGGCATCACAGGGTGCAGGGTCCCCAGGGAGCAAGGTGTCCCCAAAGCAATGGGGTGGCAGGGTGCGGGGTCCCCAGGATGAAATGTGTCCCAGGGTGATGAGGTCCCCAGGGTACAGGATCCCAAAGGGCAATGGGATCACAGGGTGCAGGGTCCCCAGGGTGTGGGGTCCCCAGGGTGCATGGTGTCCCAGGCCAATGGGATGGCAGGATGCAGGGTCCCCAATGGAGATGGAGTCACAGGGTACAGGGTCCCATGGGGTGATGCCATCAGGGGGTGCAGGGTCCCCAGGGTGCAGGGTGTCCCAAAGCAATGGGGTGGCAGAATGCAGGGTCCTCAACATCCCCAAGGGGTGGCAGGGTCCCCATGGGGTGATGGCATCAGAGGGTGCCATGTCCCCAGAGTCCCCCGGGGCGCCAGGGTGACAAGGTCCCCGGTGTCATCAGGCACCCTACTGAGATCATTGCGGGTGCCCAGGATGATGAGGACGGCGTCCTGGCCCTGCACGGCGCGCTCCACGTCGGCACCGTTGAGCACGTCGCCCACCACCACGTGCGCCGGGCTCCGCTCAGGGGGCAGCCGCGCCGGGTCCCGCACCAGCACCGTCACCTCGTACCCTGCGCGCCCCCGGCGGGGGGGGGTGTCCATGGGTCAGCAGGTCCCCAAGAGGGGCTGCACCCCCAAACCGCACTGCTGGGGGTGGGTCAGACACCCCCCTGCCCCGTGGGAGCTCGTGTACGGTGCTCCTGATTGCAGTGCCCGGTGTCACGTGATGGTGACTCAGCTCCGGCCAAGCATGACTCAGCACCGAGGCTGCCTGTGTGTAGCACCCATGGGCGCCGTGGGGGCTCTGGTGCTTCCCCGTGTCTGCTGCGGGGGGTGGGGACAACAAAGGGCCCGGAGGGGAAGCTCTGTGGCTGGCTCACGTGCCCCGTCCCGGGCCCCACGGGGAGGAGGGCCCAGGCGTCCTGCCACCCAGGAGTCCTCTGGCTGGTGCTTTTTCTGGACACTTTCACCACCAAGGTGAGGGGACACTGAAATGTAGCCCTCAGATCCAGCCTCTCCTCCAGAAAAGTGCCCAGGTGCTCTAGGATATGCACCGAGTTGCCCGGGACTCAGCTCCTCAGTGGAATCTGGTGAAAAGGGGCTGTGTGGAGTTTTCTGGGACGGCCGGGGACCAGAGGGACTTGGCCTGTCCTGGACCCTCTCCGCCTGTCCCCAATGGGCTTCGTCTGTCCCCAGCAGCAGCTGTCTGTCCCCCTTGGCATTTGCCCTCTGGGCCTTGCCCAGCTCTGACCTTGGGGCTTCGGTGCCTCCGTGACACCTGCCTGCGCACCGGGGACAGGCTGAGCCCGGCCAACTCAGCGCACCCTCATGTGGCTGCCCGATAAGAGCAGCCCAACCCTATCGCAGGCTCCCACCCGTCACCCACCCACAGCTGCAGCACCGAGGGCCGTGGGGACGGCTGCAGGACCCTGGGACCACGGGGACAGCTGCAGGACCCCCTACCCATGCTCCAGGGTGCCACGAGCCGGGTTCAGCCCAGGAAGCTCCCTGCAGTGCCCGGGACCCCCTGCACCCGTCGCCCGCAGCAGGGGCCTCAGCAGGCGCCACAGGGCGGGTGTTTTGAGGAGGGGGCGCAGCTCGGGTCCCCCTTACCCGCGTCCAGCGCCTGCGCCAGCGTGGCCAGCCCGGTCATGCCGGTGGCACCGAAGATGGCGATTTTCTTGCAGGTGGCCATGGCGCGAGCGCTGCGAGCCCCGCCGCCGCTTCCCCGCCGCCACCGGAGCGCGGCCTCCGCTCCGCCCCGCTCCACCCCCGGCGGGGCGGGCGCCGCCGGACCGGCCCCCTCGGCGCCCCATAGCCTCCCCCCCCAGGGCACGTGCAGCCCCAGGACCCCCCCACACACACACCGGGAGTTGCACCCCCCGGAACTGCACCCCGGGATTTGCACCCTCGTCCTTGCCCGGCTACGGAGACTGCCGGTAAATGCAGCCCCAGCCCTTGCAGCCCGTTCATACCGATACGTGCCCTCCCGGTAAATGTACCCCGGGATTTGCATCCCGCTCCGTGCATCCCGCTCCGTGCAATCCTGCTCCGTGCATTCCCGGTGCGAGCACGACGCTACGAGCATCCCCGGAACGAGCATCCCCGGTGCAGGGCGCACGCTCGGTGCAGCCCCCAGCCCCGCACTGCACCGGGAGCAGGTTGAAGGAGGGGGGGGGTCCCCTCCCTTGCTGCCCGCTCGCGTCCCCGCCGCGGGGC